TCCATGTTGGTCAGGCTAGTCTCAAACTCCCGACCTCAGGTGATCTGCCCGCCTTAGCCTCCCAAAGTCCTGGGATTACAGGCGTAAGCCACTGCATCTAGCCGGACTATTAGCATTTTTAAAAGGCACTTAAAATATTCCTTTCCAGTCCAACTCAAAATACATCTCTGTCAATTACATTTTGGATAAATATTTTAAAAAGCACATTTTTGTGCAATTTTTTTCTTATAATCCAGCAATATTTACCATCCATAGGGCTAAAAGGTTTGAAGGACAGAGCTCCAACTTTCTGCAGAACAATCTGAAAGTGCTTTTATCATAGAAACAAGAACATTAATGATTTGCTCTTTCACTGACAACATCCTGTAGTCGTTTCAGTAAAACATCATCATTTTCTTGACAAACGCGTTTGGCAGGGGATTCTGCATCACTATCGATGGCTATTACTCGCTTCTTGGTTCTCTGCTCACCTTGCCTTATCATGTTGTTGATCTCTTTCAAACTCTGTGCAGAAATAGAGAACGTGTGTGAGTAAAAGAGGGAGAAGGGAAATGGCAGCAAACAACCAAGCGAATTGTTTTTTCCTGTGTTCTATCCTCTATCCAAATCTTCACACTGGGATAAGGATTCTTTTTAAAACTTAGAACAACCTCATAAGGGATGGCTTGAACTAATCTTTTCAGGTGGTTTAAAAATTAGATTTAAGGCCAGGTGTGGTGGCCTGTAATACCAGCACTTTGGGAGGCCAAGATGGTTCAATCACTTGAGCCCAGGAGTTTGAGATCAGCCTGGGCAACATGGCAAACCTGGTCTCTACAAAAAATACAAAAATTAGGCAGGTGTGGTGGCTTGTGCCTGTAGTCTCAGCTACTCGGGAGGCTAAGGAGCATCACCTGAGCCTGGGGAGGTTGCGGCTGCAGTAAGCAGTGATCATGCCACTGTACTCCAGCTTGGGAAACAGAGTGAGACCCTGTCTCAAAAACAAAACCAAAACAACTGAATTTACTGTATAATAGTAGTTCTCGATGTGTAGTACCCAGACCAGAAGCAGAAGCAGCATCTATAATTTTTTTATTTTTTGAGACAGGTTCTCTCTCTGTTGCCCAGGCTGGAGTGCAGGGCATGATCTTGGCTCACTGCAAGCTCCGCCTCCTGGGCTCAAGCTATTCTCCTGCCTCAGCCTCCCTAGCTGGGACTACAGGCACATGCCACCATGCCTGGCTATTTTTTTGTATTTTTAGTAGAGACAGGATTTTGTCATGTTGGCCAGGCTGGTCTTGAACTCCCAGCCTCAAGTGATCCCCCAACCTTGGCCTCCCAAAGTGCTGAGATTACAGGGGTGAGCCACCGTGCCTGGCCTTATCTGTTTTTTTT